GGGTGAGGAATTCTCCACTGAATGAGACTGACTGGTGTCAAATAAGCTACAGGGATCCAGTTTTCCAGCACAAGCGTATGCTCTAGGTTGGGTAATCAGCGGCACATCTCTAGCAATGGAAATGTCCACCTGAGAGCACTATCACAAACAGTGATGATTCACTTTTGCGTTGGCAGCAGGCACAGGGCAGCCTATCGTTGGCAGCTCGGGACGCACCTGCAATGCCTGCAGCGAGGCGGACAGCAAGGCGGGGTAGACAGGTATCAGTGTCTTCACCATGCGAGCTCTATGGGGCGACTTTGCTTTGATTTGGTGACCTTACTGTCTTCGCTTTTGAGTATTTTCTAAGCCCAGTTCTCTGACCACATTTAAGAATCCTTCAGCTAATAAAAATCCCTCTAATAAATTCACTCTTCTGCTTCAATGATCCACAGTTGTTTCTATTGCCTGTTTATGGAAAAATCTATTTGCAAATAACTGGAAAACGTGAACTGCTTCCCATATCTCTCTTCTGGGCTTCTGATTAATGAAGACAACTGACCATGAAATATCTCCCTGTTAGAAGAATGTCACAAAACATTCCAAATTAATAAACTTAAAACTGAACTCATCATCTTTTTCCTCAAACCCTAATCATTTTCCTGTATTCCCATTTTCAGTGAATGGCACCATCATACTTCCCATTGTGTGGATCAGTCTTGAATCACTTGCTTACTCTTTCCCCATATTTGATCTTCAGCAAGTATATTTAATACCTTAAATTTCTCAATTCTGATCAATTATTTCTGACTCTACCATGATATACCTTGCCCAAAGTTGTCATTATTTCTCATTTGAACAACTAAAAGGACTTCCTGACCGCATCAAATCTGAATTCTGTACACTACAGTTAAAGATATACTTTCAAAGCTCATATAATTGTCATCCCCCCACTTATGGTTTTTGGTTCTTAGGATAGCTTCTACTGTTCTCAGGATCAATTCATAATTTTTCAACTTGGCTCATGAGCCACACGTCCAGGTCCCAGCCAAATGTTCCAGCTTCAAGCCATATAAAACTCTTTCTTACTTCACTCAAGACACTTCTTTCATTCCCTTCTATCAGCCATGCTTGCACTTACCTCATGTCTTTTATACTTATTATTTGTCTGCCTGGAATACGATTCCTTTTCAGCTGTAGCTGCTCAACTTCTATTCAGCTGTCATCTGACAGGTGAGGTCCCATGCTCGGGTGGGCATTTGACATCTCGAGCTAAGAAAAATCCCTACTATAGGCCTAACATTTTAGTTATGGTAGTCATGTTGCATATAGTAATCACTCATTATTTATTGTATAAGAAAATAAAGACAGTTTTTAAGTCAACATAAATTTGTAAGTGTGTTAGCTGCCCTTATATGTGAGTATTCTTATTTCCAAGACCAGTACACAAATGGCAAGATATATATAAACAGATAATACTATCAGCTTTCTTTATATTTTTTATAAACATCACTTGTGACAAAATAAAAATTAAATGATCTCCAAATATCTATAAATATTGAAGAAAAGGAACAGCAAGGCTCAACAATAATATTGGCCATTCTAAGTAATGTAATTAACCTAAACAACTGACCCTGATGTTCTTAAAATATATGATATAGCTTATTCAGAAATGGCTCTTAGGAAGTTGAGACTGTGAAGCTGTCTGTTTCACAAATAAGGGCAAATTGGCAAGCACACGAACCACTGGGTCTCCTATTAAAAGAGCAGTTATTAGAAAAACTCACAGATAATGGCAGTAGCAGGTGTGTGGGTCCCCTATTGCCCAGTATATACCCAATGGCCTAGGAAGGCATAATGCCACAGGGAAGGAGAGGGATTATGACCCTTAGACGGCGTGCTTCTTTAAGCTTTCTTTAAGCTCCTTTAAATGATAAAGTGCCCCATCTTGGTGTGATGGGTCCAAGGCACAACAGCAACAGAACAGGGCAGAACTGTGGCTCCTGTCCTTCCTGCCAGTCCAGTGTGTGTGGCCGAGAAGGCACAGGACCAAGCCTCTCACCGCAGGATCAGAACGCAGGGCCAAGGCTTACTCTTGCTCAGAATTGATTGCCTGAACACTCAGCTCTGACTGCTTTCTATGGGACTGGCCCCCACCTTTCCTGGAAGGTCAGTTTGTAAGAGATCAGCTTTGGACAAGTTAACACTAACTTTTTACTAGTTCAATTAGAACGACAAAGTTTGAAGTAACTCTAATTATTGTAGCATTTTGTAATTATTTTCAATATTATTTATTAATGCTAATGGAGCTGATGTAGTAGTATTTTCTCTCCGCCTCCTTATGTTTCTCTTTCTGCCATCCTAGTGTTTTTCCATGTCAAGATAAATCCATTTGACTCATTTTTGTTGTTGTTGGGCTGCTGTTGTGGTAAACGTCTACATTCTACTATCATTCACATATATAGGTTTGGCATAGTATAAAATTTCAATTCCTCACCAATCTGTTTTTCAAAAGAACTTTTCCTTCATATGGTTTCTTCAAAATTAGACATATTGAATATATAAATCACATGGCTCCACATCCACCCTGGGGATATGAAGATCTCATTACCTTTGGTTTAAAGAAATATGTACATTTTTCCTCTGGACTTTGGGTTTTTAGAAATGCATAAAAATTTTGCTTCTATTAATGCTCTACTCTTTTAAAAGCAAATTCTTACTCCAGTTGTTATTTGTGTATCAAATATATATTAAATAATTTAATATTTACATTTTCTCCTAAGTATTATAACTTGAGTGCTATTAGTTAAAATGTATAAAGGTCAAATTTTGGTGCATAACACTGTTTCCCCCATTTAATCAGAAATATAAAATACCCTGAAAATTTAAAATTCTTTATTGTACATAATCAAATTTAGAAGTTATTTTCAAGATTTTCATCATGGTTCTGAATTTTGAATTCAATTTTGAATTATTAGTACTAATTAAGTTTTTCCATTAGAAACTAGCCATAATTTTAAACTCAGAAGGAAGCAAAATAAAGTCATTTTTCTATATAGATTCTGAGTAAGTTATCTTTAAAAAGAAAAAAGTTTTTCTAGGAGAAAAAAAATGGAAAGCTCAAATCTCTTTTACTACTATTTTTCAAAATCACTAATGACCAAAAATAATGTCCATGAAAGGATGAATGGATTGAAAATATGGTATATATAAAAACGATAGAATGTTATTCAGTTGTAAAAAAGATATTGCATTTGCAACATGGATAAACCTGCAGGACATTAGGTTAAATGAAATAAGCCAGGCACAGAAAGACAAATACTGCATGATCTTGCTCACAAGTAGAATCCAAAAATGTTGCTCTCCTAGAAGCAGAGAGTAAAACGATAGTTACCAAAGGCTGGGGAGCAGGGGAGCGGGAACCAGGAGAGGCTGGTCAAAGGAGACATAATTCCAGTTAGATAGGAGGAACGCACTCAAGAGATCTATTGTATGGCAGGGTTAGGGTCACCCTAACCCTAGTTAATGACAATATACTGTATTGTTTAAATATGCAAAAAAGTGAATATTGAGTACTCTCACTACAAAAATGATAACTGTGTGATATAATGCATTTGTTGATTAAAGTTAACAATCCCATAATATATATGCACCTTGAAACATCATGTCATACATGATACATAAATACAATGCTATCTGTCAAATTAAAAAAAAAAGTTTTAAAATTTAAAAAAGAGTAATCTATTTTATAATACAAAAGCAAAGCTGAAAATGTTATATAAACTAAAAACACTGTATTATATATAATTACACAAATATACATATATACATATATGTATATATAAAGGTTATATATAAATACATAAAACACTATTATATATAATGTTTCTATAAGATTAAGTACTTTTTGTGATTATTTATAAAAAATTAACATTGTGCTTTAAAATAGGAGGAAAAATAAATGGATATATAAACAAGGAAGCTGTGTGATTATTATGATCTAAATAAATGACATTTTGATAACTATTAGTTTGATACTAAACATGTAAAAATAAATACACAATTATTTCAAATAAAGATATTCATTTTTTAATTGTATGGTGACTTTTTTGCATGTAAAATTGATATTGATTTATCTTCTAAATATTTTAGTGTGACACTGACATTTTTGCTAAGTTTTAATGGAAAATAGAAATATTTCAAAATAGCTATAAGATATATACCCAAAATTTGCCGGGATAATTTGTGATACAATGTATTAGAGAGTGGCAATAATGCCTGAAACTGTGTATTTCGTTTTTCACCCCTAGAAATCATGAGCTCCAGCAATGATTTCTATATAGTCAAGGAAAGGGATAGTGGATACTGCCTTCAGATGGAGATAAATATGACATACGGGATCTCTGGAGCAGATAAAATGGATGAAGAAGCCCAAACTTTGGAAGAAGAAAATTATTAAAGTAGATAAAACAAGCAGTGAGAGATATCGTTATTTACGATTACCCAGTTCTGGGCCAAAGTTCTTGGGAAGGGAGACCTGTTAGATTATGTCAAAGAGGGAAATGAGAACATATCAAGAAATCTTTAAATCCTTCCTTCCTTCCTTCCTTCCCTCCTTCTCTATCCCTCCTCTCCCTCTTCCTGTCTCTTCTCTCTTTCTTTTGCTCTTTTCTTTCTTTAGTCATCTTTATTTCCTTTTCCCTTGCTTTTAAATTTTTTCACACATTTTAGATTTATAGAAGAGGCTAGCTTTCGAGATGGATAATCACTAACATTGCATCATAACAGAACAAATTGGTGTCAAGTCATGGTTCTCATGGTGGAAGTTATCCCAAGGTTCTAGCATGGTCTCTGAAGTGACAGGTTTCATAACTAATGAAGCCACTGAATGAACTCACTAGATGATTCAATGCAATGAGGCAAAGTACTCTTGTAGAAAAATAAATAAATAAATAACTACTGAAGGAATAAACTCCCAGGTAAAGAACTGAATGAGTCACAAGCAGTCCTCAAGGGTACATAGCAATGAGAGAGGAGATGGAGTCAAATCAGCCGGAAAGAGACCATCCTGTGGGCAAATCCAAAACATTTTAAATTCCATAGCTGTACAACAGAAGCCTACAAAACATGCATTGAACAATCAAACAGGAGACATTATAATAGGCCCACTTATCCATGGGAGATAAATTGCAAGACACCCAGTGTATGCCTGAAACTGCAGGTAGTACCAAATATTATATATGCTATGCACAAGTTTCTTTTTCCTTCTTCACAATTTCATGGATAGAAGATTTGTTCTTATCTTAGGTCTTAGTGACTTCAGCATGCAATTTTTTTCCTTCACATATTAAGTCAAGATCTTTCACCTTTTCACTTAAAGGAAGCACTTCATGGCTTCTCTTTGGCATATCCAAATTGTCGATATTATTACTCTTGCACTTTGAGACCATTACAAGTAAAATAAGGGTTACTTGAACACAAGCACTGTTATGTCGGGCAGTCAATCTGATAAACTAGAACAGATGGGGGTACTTTTCATCTTATAAGGCCTCATTAATTTAGCTGTCATCAAATAAGGCTGCTTTTAAGAAACTTCAGTTAGATATACAATAATGTATTTTTAATGTATATTAAAAATGTACATTATTTTGCAAAAATCTAACTACTATGTACTTAATAATTTCAGAAAATGAAAACTATTTGCTAATTTTAAAATTAACTAACCTTTCAATGACTTCGTTGTGTCTGCTTTTGTTAGAAAGCAGCATGGAGATCTGCAGTTTTCAGTTGACCCTTTAGATGGTTGTCCGTCATTTGTGGCCTTAAATGCTTCTTGATTTGGGTTAGGTAGGAAAATATAGCTTCACAGAAATAAGTGATGGAAAGGCAAGAAAGCATTTTTCAGGCATGTTGCCAAAGGCATGGGTATTCTACTGCATTTTTCCATATTTCAATTGGATCTTTCTTAGCATCAAACAATGACTTTAAAATGTCATTTACTGAGAGCTCAATGGATTCCTTCTGTAGGTGCCTTGGTGTTATCAACCAGCTGAGGCAAAAATGCTAATTTGAATGTGATGTCATGATTCTCAAAATCAGTGACACTTTCATTATAGTCTCCAATTAATATTTATCATCCTGCTCATCAATGACCTTTGCTAATTGGGGAATTTTCATCTGAAATTTGCTTTTGAGTAAGTGTTTTTTAAAAAAGATAGCTTTTTCTGAAATGCTTGTTTTTTTGTTTTTTTTGTTTGTTTGGTTTTTGGTTTTTTGTCAAATATCATACCGAGATTTGGTTTTACCTTTCAAAGAAATATTCAAGTCATTTTGATTTGACATGATATCACACAGAAATGCTGCATGCCTAAGGAAATCTTCTTTCAATAATTCACATTGTTGATTCTATTCTTCAAAAAATGTAACTATCTGTTCTCACAGAGATGAAATTTTGGCTAACACCTGTGCCTGCGATAGCCAACCCACTTTAGAATGATATGTCAAATCCATACTGAATACTTCATTGTTCAACTTTAGAATGTGATGTAACTGAAGATGATAAGGTATTGTATTTGCATAAATATAGTTAACAATATTTATAATTTGTTGCAAAGTGTCACTTAAAATGGTAGCTTTAGCACAGAGATTTTGTTGATACAAGATACAATGAAAAGAAATGAGAGCATCTGGATCTGTTAATAAATGTGTTGACCAGGATATTGTAAAATTAAAGCCCTCAGACATTGCTGTTGGGATTGTAAAATGGTACAACCATTTTAGAAAAAAAATGGTTTGGCAGTTACTCAAAATGTAAATATAGAGTTGTTGTATGACTTAGCAATTCCACTCCTAGGTACATATTCAAGAAAAATAAAAACATATGTTCACCACAAAATATTGTACATTAATGTAAATACTAGTCATAATAGTCAAAAAGTGGAACCATATAAATTTCCATTAAATAATGAATGGATAAGTAAAATGTGATATACCTGTGCAATGTAATATTATTCATCAGTAAAAATAAATGGAATAACTTTAAAAATATTATGCTAAAATAAGACAGTGGTGATTTTTGTACAACTTGTGAGTATACTTAAAAACACTAAATTGTAAGTTTTAAAAGATGACTTTTTGATATTTGACAAATAAATTCAATAAAACTTTTATATATTTTTAATATAAGAACATGGGAAAGAAAAAAAATAACTGTCACTTTTTTTTAGTGGGTGTTGTGGGGTAATGGGGGGAAAGGAAGAGTGATGTTGTGAGGAGAAAGAAAAGATCTAGCAGAATTTAACTTCTATCCCATTCCCTCCTTTGCTCTTCTGCAGAAAGTCAATTATCATGAATTTTTAATCTCAAGTGTTTTAATGCCCTAAGTCCAAGGTGGATCATTACAGAATGAAGCTTCTTCCACAACTTTCTAGATGTGGGATTTGGGCAAGTTTCTCGGTTCTTTTCACTGTTTCATCATATATAAAATGAAGCTATACCATCCACTTCAGGGTTGTTATGAGAAACGAAGGAGCATACTTAGTTTGTGGTCCATGCTCTAGGTAAGCCAGTTATTAGTTACAATGATTCATTTTAGAAATTACTTTTTTGTAGTATGTACAATCATTCTTAATTTTTATCCATTTTAAAAATCCACATTTTCATTTACTTATCTGGATGTGCATAGAATCTTGTTACAAAACTTTCTGGTCTGGCTCCTCTTTTTTTTTTTTTTTTGCTGCTGTGCTTAGCAAACTGTTTTTCAAAAATATATGATTTTATGCCATCTTAGTTTGTGACCTTCTCATGATGAAGAAACACTTAATACTTATTTTACTGTCATGTTGAAAGGAGCCAGGTTTCATTATGATTTCACAAAATTGAACAACCATCTATTCTGCTAATCTTGCAATTTTCCTTATACTAGTGGATTTGGAATATTAAATTTACAAATATAATGAATAAGTACAAAGTAAGAATGCAGACTTAAAATGTGCCTTTTCTGATTCTAAATTTAATTAGATGTGAATTTAATCAATTGTCTTCATGTGTTTAGAGTTGCTGGGTAATTTATAAAGAGAAGGGGTTTACTCGGCTCATGACTCTGATGGCTGGATATTTCAAGATCAGGCATCTGGCTAGGGCCACGGGCTGCTTCCACTCACGGCAGAAGGCAAAGGGAAGCCAGTGACCCATGCAGAGATCACATGGCAAAAGAGGAAGCAAGTGAGATTGAGGGGAGATGCCTGGCTCTTCTTAAGAAAACAGCTCTAGTGAGAACTAATAAAATGATAACCTATCATATATAAGAGGAGGGCAATAATTTATTCACTAGGGATCCATACCCATGAGCACCTCCCATTAGGCCCACCTCCAACATTGGGGATCTAATTTCAACAGGTTTGGAGAGGAAGAAAACTCAAACCACTGCACTGACACTAAATAAAGAGAGAAATATATTTTTCATACTTGTATGCCCCAAACCTAATATAGTGTCTTGCTCATGACACAAAATAGAATAAATACTTGTTAATGCATCTCTCTCTCTCTCTCTCTTTTTTTTTTTTACCTTTTTTTCTTTCTCTTTCTATTTTTAATACCAGGTGGAGTTTTAAAATGTTTGATCTAATTTTTTATCATTCTTATTTTACATTGCATAATATCAAGAGTGCTTTCACATGCTTCAAATATGCTATATACTAATTTCCTATGGCAGCATAGTATTTCATTGGATGTATATTTGTAATCAACTTCATTCATTTTTGTATATATTAAAATGTGACCACTTAAGCATATATTTCAAAAAGTTTTAACAAATTTATATACCCATATGACTTCCACTTAAATCAAAATATAGAACATTCCCATCACCACATCAAGTTCCCTTGTGTTCCTGTTCATACAAATATCTCCACTCCCCCATCTCATTTTGTCACTAGGAAACAAATGATCTCCTTTTGATCATTATAGATTAGACATGTATTTTCTAAATTTTGATGTAAATAGAATTCTATACTCTGACATTTTTTGTTGAGCATATGGTTTTGAGATTTATTTATGTAGTTGTTAATATCTATGATTCATTGCTTTTTAGTTTAGTAATATTGCATTGTACAAATATAACACAATATGTTTGTTTATTCATGAGCTAATGAATACTTAAGTTGTTTCCCATTTTCTGCTCCTATGATAAACTTTTCTGAGCAATCACGTGAATGTCTTAGGATAAGTAAAGGTTTTCATTTCTCTTATGTATATTTCTGCAAGTTAAATTACAAATTGATATGATAGATGTATAGTTTAATTTTGATAAAGTCAAATTACTATTACTAAATAATTTGTTTTTTAGTTCCCAAGAAATTTTTTGTATAACCAAGATCACAAAAATTTTCTTTTATGTTTTCTCTAAAAGGTTTGTAAACTCAGATTTTATATTTTAGTATATAGTGTATTTTATTTTATTTTTTGTATTTGGTATATGGTAAAAGTTGAAGTTCAGTTTTTTGCATGTGAATATCTAATTCTTCAAACACCATTGGTTGAAAGGATTACACTGTCCTAATTTAGGGATAATGGTACATGTATTGAAAGTCAGTTGTCCATATGTGTGTAGCTCTGTTATGCTTTATTCACATATATGTCTACACTAAAAACAATTCAAACATATTGTGATATATTGTAGTTTTATTTTAACCTACTATGAGATTTATCCTCAAATATTTTATGGTTTGATGCTAACTGAAATGTCATTTAAATTTTTTTCAGCCTGAACAACATAGTGAGATCCTATCTCTACAAAAAATAGAAAAATTAGCCAGGTTTGATGGAGCACACCTGGAGTCCCAGCTATTTGAGAGGCAGAAGCAGGAGAATCACTTGAGCCTAGGAGTTGGAAGTTGCAGTGAGCTATGATGAAGACACTGCACTCTAGCCCAGGCAATAGAGTGAGAACCTGTCTCAAAACTGCATATGTGTATATATATATATATATATATATATATACACATATATATACCTTTATTTAAATTTAAAAATTTTAAAAGATATATATATTTCTAAATTTCCGATGTTTCATTGCTTTTGTATAGAATTACAACTGATTTGTGTATTCTGACATTATATCCTATGCTCTTACTAAATTCATCATCAGTTCTAGTATCTGTTTGTAGAATTATCAGGATTTTCTACATCTTGTCATCTCTAAAGAGTTTCTGCTTCATGCTTTACCACCTGTATAAGTTGTATCTATTTTTCTTTCTATTTCACTAGTGAGGATCTCCAGCATCAGGTTGTATAAAAGTGGTGAGAGAAGACATCTTTGGCTTTTTGTCAATCTTAGAGGAAAATAATGTTAAATTTTAGCATTAGATTTTTCATAAGAACATAATACAAATTGAGGAAGTTCTATTGCTAGAATACTAGATTACATCATAATTAGATGCTGAATTTGCTCAAGTGATTTTATACATCTATTTATATTTCATATGGTTTTCTCCTATATTGTTTATATAGTGATTAAAATTGTTTGATTTTTAAATATTAAACTAACTTTGTATCCCAGGAATAACCATTAATGGATGGTGCATTATTAGTTTTATTTATTGCTGGATTCAGTTTGCTAAAACTCTGTTCACTATTTTGCATCTATAGTCCCAGTGGGTAATGTTTTATTTGTGTCAGGGTAAAGCCATATTTTATTTATTTATTTATTTATTTAAAAATATTACAGGGATATAAATGTTTTTGGTTACAAGGATCAATTTTGTAATGCTCAAGTCATGGTTATAAGTGTTTCAGTCACTCAGTTAGTGTTCATTGTTCCCATTAAGTAGGTTTTTGCCCATCCTCTCCTCCCTCTTCCCCACCCCATTGATTTCCATTGTGTTTACTTCCCTCTATGCACATGTGTGCTCATCAGTTAGTTCCAATTTAATAGTGAATGCATGTAATATTTGTTTTTACATTCTTTAGATACTTCACTTAGGATAATGGTCTCTAGTGCCATCCATATTGTTGCAAATGACATTAAGTCATCCTTCTTCATGGCCATCTTTCTACTTACTGTTCAGTCCTTTGCATTATGAACATTATAGTCTGTTTCTCATTGCTTTTCCTTATATCATGTTATTCTTTTTGCTGAAATGGCCTCAGTTGTGTTCCGTGGTTTACTTCTACATTCTTTAAGACTTAAGTGTTTCCCAGACTAGGCCACCCAATGACCTACATGTGCTTTTATATTTGATTTCTCTTTCACTGTTGTTGTTCAGTTGACTGTTCATGTCCTGTTCTCATTCGCTAGAGTCAGAGATCATTGAGATCATAGACCTACTTACTGTTGTTTAATCAGCGGGGCAAGAAGATGGTATTAATTAAAAATGAATGAATGAATAAATGAATGAATGAATGACTTAGAGTTACTAATCTATAGGAAATGAGAATTTGATTTGATGCAAGTCTAAGAAATTTTTAAGAAGTTTCAATTATAAGGAATATTAAATTTTATCTGTCAGACAACTAAGTGATTCACAATAATATCAATTTAGGATATTACATGTTTTTAATATAAATTATTTCTGTATTTCACATAAAAATAAAATGAAATTTTAAATTCATTTGATCTATACACTTGTGAAATTCTTCTTAGAACAAAAATATTTCCAGAGAGATTTGAAAATCTAAAATAATTTCCTGTTATTATCAACTATAGGTTCCTACATTTAGAAACCTTTTTGTAGAGCTTTTAAGAATCAAATTACTTTTAAAGATACATTTGTGATTTATGATTGCTTTTATTCTACATTCTTTTCTCCTTTTAAATCTCCTGCTCTATTTTTAAAATCTATTGGTAATTTGATTACTCAAAAAACTGAGCTGAAGATTGAAATTTATTTCTATACCTCACACAATGTTATTTGCATATATTAATCATTATTCTTTTAGTTACAATCATAAATTTTCCTATTATTAATGTTAATGTATTTTTTACTTACCTTCTTAAAACTATAGTAAGCTTAACTCCAAAATACTTTAAAATTTTTTTCTTTTCTCCTCACAGTGCCTCTCAAATTTTTTTCATTTGGTGTATGTTTCACAAAATATGTTCTGATCCTTGTGCATGTAACAAAATGTGACTTACTGATTGCCAACCCCAGAGTTTTCTGTCAGTCTTGATTCTGCTCAATTTAACAGTGGCCTTGCACACAATCAATCACAATGTTCTTGATACTTGACTTCGCGGGGTAGCAGCGCTTTCTCATCTTGCATCTTATCTTTCCAATCACCCTTTCTTGTCTGTGTAGCAGAGACACTTCCTAAGATTCCTAATATGCCACTTAGAGCATACAATTAGTGGCCTGTGTTGGTTGAAGAGCCGTGGGGGCTCCTTACTCTCTGCTGTGTCTCCGCACTCACAGTCTACGCAGGACTTAATAGCTATAGATGCACGGGGAGAATTCTATAGAGAAATCACAATGTGTCTCTTCATACGTGTTCCATGATCAGAATTCTGGATTTTTGTTTCTAAAGCAGACAGTAGTTTCTATTATAGGATACATTTTACATTTTTAAAAAGGAAAGAAAGAAAAGACTAGACTTTTCCTTCAACTGGAAAATCTTTTAGAATAAATAAATGCCAGATATTAACCAATTTAATATAATAAATACATTTATCCTATATAAGACAAGGCAATAAGTTATTATATACTAAGGATGGATGTGAAGAAAAGTGTTCAGAGAGACTTTCAAAGCATGTTGAACCAAAAAAAAAGTTAATTGTAAGATTTTGTACATTTTCTTTTTTAATAAAGCATATGGCAATACAAATGCAATCTTCTATTTTCAAGTTTGCCTTTGAACTGAAATGTACTATCTAAGCCAACATCGATAGTTCAATTTATTCATCCAATTTCTCAGGATTTGCCCAGGCACTTTATATCTGTTTTAAGTGAGTCAAATGTTTTTAGCACATATGATTTTATCGACAATGAGTTAAATAATTAAAGGCCCAGAGATATTTGGTTTTACCAGCTTTGCAAAGTCTTTGAAGAATGAAATAGAGTGATATTGAAATTTCCTCTTTTCTGTTTGCTATTTTCACTTATTAATTCAATCAATTATCCTAAAGCACTGAATTTCCTGGCCTGTCTAGTCCAGCTCATTTTAAAAATTTTATTGAAGAATTTAGTATGTAAGAAATATTTTGGAAATATAGCATTTATGAGGAGTAAAGGACAGAGTATAGACATTAGGAGAATCAGGTTTCAATAATGATTCTTCAATATATCAGCTGTGTGACCTGGTCCCAAGCATTTAAATTTGTGTGCTTGGCATTGAGAGATGCACAATAAATATAATAATAATTGGGAAACATAATGAATCTTTTTAAAGACTATGTGTGATTTGTTGTGATAGTTCTTTGGAGCTATCATGATAGAGCAGAAAGCCTAAGGAATTCTCCTGCTCCACAGCAACCAGACCTGCATTGAACAAGATTGAGGACATGATGAAGGTAGGAATGGCCTTGAAAGATTCTCAGACAAATAAACAAGCAAAGATAAGCAACGTACTAGAGGATTGACATCAGACTCTCCTGGTCTAGGGCCAAAGATGGAGCAGCTGGAAGCAGAGACAAGAGCAAGCTGGGGAGGATGCCCAGCACTCGGAAATTGGGGCCTGAGAAACTGGGGCAAGAGACCTCTGCAGTGCGGAGATGTAGTGGCAGAGGGCCAGATTGTAGGTGAGCATCCTGGAAGAGCAGGAATCCAAAGGGGCTGATTTTCCCTGAGAAATACAACATTACTGCAAGATTGTAAAGTCTGAACAACATGAATGTTGAGAATCTGAGCCCAAAACCCTGCTGAGGCCTGCAATGGCTCCTGTTTGGGGCACACTCTGGCTGAAGCAAACCCTTTTAGGAGGAAAGACTCACATAGGTACCCACAGGGTAACCCTTACATGCATGTACAGGAAAAAGTCTTGCCCATTTGCACCAGTAAACACTCACATAAGTGTTTACAATAATACTTTGTAATAATAATAAAAATAATACTAAACCTTTAAAAATACCCCATTGTCAGGACAATGGAAAACAAACAGTGGAAAATTATATAGCAGTGAGCCCTGACTTGTTGTCCACCTATGTTGATCATGCTGGCTAAATCTTACCAATGTAACACTGTAGGTGGTGAAGGATCTCTTTCAGCAAGGACAGCCTAAGTAATTCAGACCAGCGCTCCTACCGAGAACAATTTGAAAAGCTGTATGAACAGTAAGAATCATCTGCTGAGGACATCTAAGGGCTTGCAAAACAGTAAAGATTATAGGGATGGCATCCACCAAAAACAACACAAGCAGCAAGAGATCTGAGCCTAGCATTTGTGATCTTTTTTTCCACTGGAGCATCTACAAATTCTGAAGTAAAAGGCTGAGAGACTAAGAAATTACCCAGAGATTTTATATCCTTTATAAGAAAACAAATAAAGAAAGAAAAACAGAGACAGATACAGAGAGAGCCAAAGAGGACAGAGAAAGAGAAAGAGAGGAGTAGCGTAGAGAGAAAGATCTGATGAAACTCCTGATTAGATGACCACTCATAACATACACCAACGTAGAAATTTGTACCTAACTGAAAATATCCTCCAAACAAAAATTGAATGAATGTTTGACCAGCAGAAACATTCTAAAGTGCTTCTAGGCAGAAGAAAACAGGCAAGAGGTGGAAGCTTCAAAACACAGATAGACATGAAAAGAAATGGAAAATGAAATATGTGGATGAATCTAATAACTATTGAGTGTAAAACAATTGCAAAGATATGAAATCAACCTAAGTGCCCATCAACCAAGGACTGATAGGAAAATGTGATATATATATATATATATATATATATATATATATATATATATATACACACAGCATGGAATTAGTACTACTTAGCCATTAAAAAGAATGAAATAATGTATTTTGCAGCAACTTGGATGGGACTGGAGGCCATTATCCTAAGAGAAGTATATCATGAATGGAAAACCAAATACCTCATGTACTCACTTATAAGTGGGAGGTAAATGATGTGTATACAAGCTACATGGAGTAGTATAATTGACATTGGAGACTCAGAAGGGGGCGCTGGAGGGGAGAGGCATCAAAAATTACCTATTGGGTATGATGCACACTGTTCAGGTGATGGGTACACTAAAAGCCCTGACTTCACCACTATACAAATCATCCATGTAACAAAAACCACTTGTACCCCCTAAATCTATTGAAATAATACAAAATTATAAAAAATTATAAATGTTCTTAATAATTACAATTCTAATAATGAAGTTTGTTTCTTGTTCAATGGTAAAAAACACATTTTAAAATAAATAAAGGACAAATTTTGTCAAAAATTATGTGTAAAACAATAAATATTAAGTGTATTCTAAATATATATACAATAAAACAACAAGAGTATGTTAACTATGAGGGAAATAAATAGTTAACACATTCTAAGGTATTTTCATAGGCAAAGGAGAAGCAAAATGTCAATATTTGGTACATGAAGAATGTACATTGTAATTTCTAGGATAACCACCAAGGATAGAGTGGAAGAGCTGACAGCTTTCATATTTTTTTATTTAAAACAAAGTAGAAAATGTATAAATAATCAAAAGAAGGCAATTTCAAATATCAGCTACTTATATGATATGTGGGTGAAACATACAGCATCAAAAAATTGAACATAAAATAATAAAAAAATATACAATACACTATATAAACCAAAGGAAAGGTAGCATAACTATCTTACTATCTAACAAAGTAGACCTTAAGGCAATATCAAAAAGTATTATTAAGGATAAGAAGGACAATTTATGGAGATATAATTTAACTCACCTGTGGGATATAATGTTTAACAAAAAATTATTCTGATACTCGTTAAAGATGATAAGGAAGATTTTATTCAAAGGACTACTACGATGGCATTTTGTAGTACTGAAGAGAGATTTGGCTCAACTCTGAATGCTATAAGAAAACGTGGGGATTTATAGTGGTGGTCAGTGGATGGAAAATTACTGAGAGGAAATCACAGGTAAAGGAGGAATTCTTTCTAAACTGACCAATGAAATTCATGCTAAAGGCAGGCTAGGGTAATAGATAACACCTGGGGATGGTGCGCAATCAAGACATTTGATTAGATGTCCAGGATGGGGAATTCTCACTAACCATACTTAGCAAGATTCTTGATTTAGAATCAGGCTCAAGACAGGCTGAGTCAACAAAAGGGCTTAGAGGAGCCTAATTAAGGAGAAAGCCTTTGTCCAATAAAAATTGTAAATTTGTATGCTATAAACACGGAATGAAGAGGAATGACCAGGAATTACTAAAATTACATCAACAAAAAGGGGAAACAGAATGGTAAGTAGTCCAAAAAAGGAAATTTCAAAAAAATAAAATATAAGAAAATAATTATAGTGCTTAATTATAAGCATTAAATAGTTCATTTAAGACCTTGTTTTAAATAGTAAATCAGTATACTATTTTAAATTAGTCTTTAGTCCTATGATGTCCTACAAAACAAATATTCACAAATGCACAAAAAAGACAAAATATACAAGAACAGTATATGCTGCTAATTATGTATTATATATTAAATATAGATTATCAATGTCTATAGGTGGCAGGCTATGGCTTGAACATCTGAACCCTCCAGATCTCATGTTGAAATTTTATCCCCCATGTAGGAGATGGTGCATAATGAAAAGTGTTTGGGTCATGGGGGTGAATCCTTTACGAATAGCTTGGGGCCATTCTCACGGTAATGTGTGAGTTATTGCTCTCTTAGTTCCGGTGAGCACTGGTCACTTAACCACTTTGGTATGTCGCTCACACGGGACACCTGGCCCGCAGCGGCACTCACAGTCCGCACGCTGGTCTGCGCTGCGCATTGACGACCAGTCAGTTTTGCTCTTGTGTGATGAGGAAAGCTTGAAAGCACTGAAAGCTCCTTCTACTTTATAGGCAGCTTCACTTGTCATGTAAATCAGAATAGGCAACACATATATATATGTTTTCATTATGTTATTTTTAAATGTTCACAATTTTACTTTGATAAATGAAAAATTAGAAAAGTCACATCTGTGGCTGTCGAGTACAGTTGACGCTGGTCGCGCAGTGGTTAAAGGAGGCTGGCACCTCACCCCTGCCCGCGTGGTCTCCCACAGACAGGCTCCCCTGCCCCTTCCACCGTGGTGGAGCTCCCTGGAGCCCTCACCAGAACCCCGTGCCGGTGGCGAGCTTCTTGTACAGCCTGTGGAACTGTGAGCCCAATAACCCTCTTTTCCTTATAAACTACTCAACCTCAGGTATTCCATTTTTTAATTTCAGAATATTATGGGGATACAAACATTTTGGTTACATATAATGTCTTTGCCTCGCCCAAGCAAGGCTACAAGCGTG